AATAGTTGCAAATTAATCAATCATCTCATATAAATAACAATAGTTTTAAATAAAATAATTGCCTGATATTTCGTTGGTTCCGGAAGTGCGGAAAGGACTACCTCGACAACGGTACACATCGAAATAACTTGCTCTATCGCAGCATTTGAACCATCACTGGTGGAATCCCAGTAAAGAAGAAGTGATGGGCACGGACCCTCAATAAAGCGTGGCTCTCGTGCCAATCGTAGGCGCTATAAGTTTGAAAAATTAAGAAAATACGTAGGCATCACTAAATTTTAGATGTCATTGTGTTGGATTATATAACCACTGTTTCGCATAACGCTACATTCCTCTACATCATGATCATTAGATAAGAAAAGCAACAACGACAATAATAGTGTGTGTGATGGGCCACACTAATTCCCGCTTGTTTATTTTTTCTTATAAAATAATCAAGACATTTGGAATTTACACATTTCTAAACTACTTTATCATAATTATTTAAACTAAGTATAATCTAAACATCATGATAGTTTTATCTCTTTCCACAATTTATTTTGCAAGAAAAGAAAAAAAAATACACTAGTATAAACGCGCTTTACAACACCGTATTTTACGACCAGAACATCGAAAGAAGCATCAAGTACTTGTATTACCACAGCACGTTCGGTTAGTGGTCCATATTCCTAAAACTGATGTTCATCAATAAACGGAACGATTAAATCATTTCTACTATCTTAAAGGACTGACACAAGAAAATGGGACAAAAACCAAACAAACCTTAATGAAGACACCAAAGAACATATCATCACTTGCTTCCGAGACTGTTTTTGCAATTAGTTTTCTATCATTGCAGTGACTTGCTATTGTTTCGATCTCTTTCACAGTTAAACCTGGAGCTGGAGAGTAACCAAGTGCTGCTGACAAAAAACGATGTACCTAGAAAATTGTTTTCCATTCACAAAAGAACAAAAACTTAACAAACGCTTTGAATAACAAAAAAATAAGAACTCAGCAAACTTGTAAAGATATTTGAATTTTGATGGATTTTTAGATTTCGTAAATATTCAAATCTCAAAAATTAATAAGCACTATATCAAGAAAACAATGTAGACATATGAAAACAATTTGGTTAGACATTAAAAATTTGATTTTACATAATTAACCAATAAGCCACAACCTATATTTATAACAACTATTAACGAACCATAATATCGGGATATCGACGTATTGGTGAGGTGAAATGAGTATAAAACGGCACCGAGAGAGCGTAATGTGCATAATCAGCTCGGTTTTTCAATGAACCAACGCAGAAATATAACGCCAATTGCATTGATTTCATCAGTAAATGCGTCAGCATCTAAAACGAAAGAGATATTTAACTCTTGCAGTTTTATTACATCTTCCAGTGTACTTAGCTATGACAAAAAAATGCAAGAGAGAATAGCTGTTTTTTTTAACTTTTATTCTTCAATCATATACTATCATTCATGTTACCTGAACAACGGTTCGTTTTAAATCAGTGTCTCCTTCATACTTTTGCAAGCTCGAAGAAATAGATCTACTCGAGGAACCATCCACTGCAAAGCCGATCTTTTCACACTTCTCCAAAATATCGCGTAGCATCTGAAGAATAATGTTCGAGAAAAGATTTAGGAAGAACAAATTCCCGATGGAATTTGGGAACGCCATACAACAAATAAAGATTAACAAGCACTTTTTTCATAAATTTTGACAAAAAATAAGAAAAAATTGTACTTTTATTTTTGGAGGCGGATGTCGTCGTAAAAGTGCAGTCTTCGGAAATGCTGATTCAATTTTCCGAGCTACAGCTATATTTGCCAAAAGCATGAACTCTTCCACAAGAAAATTGGCTTCCTTACGCTATAAGGAAGTAATTTCAATAACTATTTAACTTGAAAATAAGAATAAAATTCAGACGGCATAAATTTGTGCAGACTTAACAGAAGAAGAAATTTACTTCGTCCAGACAAAGACCGTTGGGCATTCCCGATGTATCATCAAGTGTGAATCTCAGTTTGGGCACATCAAGATAGAGAGATCCATTTTCAAACCGTCTCTTTTTTAAGATGAGTGCAATCTGCAAAAATAGAGAATAATATATAACTTTTATTCAGGTCACCTAAGTAGGACCCGGAATATCGATTTGTTTGACATAAAATTGCATTACGAGAAGTGATTACTTTCGTAAAATCTAGATCTTGAAATATAATTTTTTCCTTTCTACTTCCTACCGCTAAAAATATTAGAAACAATACCATTTAAACAACCAAAAAGCAACTAAAATATTCACAAAGAATACCTTATGCAAGCGAAGTACTGCTTCTTTCAGTTCATCTGATTTTTTGCCATTGGAAATATCCGGCAACTCGGACGAAACTAAATCTTTTTCTGAATGAGCGATAAAATCCTAAAAGAAGTAAGCCACAATTAGCAAAACGCGGAAATTGGGAAGCAAGAAAAATCTGCCTACCTGCGCATGTTCATAAGACAATTTGCAACAAGACCGAATAATCGTACGTCCAAACCACTCATCAAATATCTCTCCTTGGTCATTGATTTTCCAGACCACCGAAAACGTCAGCCGATCGACACCAGGATTTAATGAACACAACTGTTCACAAAGTATTTGTGGCAGCATTGGAATCACCTGGAAATATGACACAATCTCAGACAAATTCAAAGACAATGGAAGCAAAAGGAGTGGAATTAAATAGACTAACTTTGTGAACGAGATAAACCGATGTGCCACGGCTAAAAGCCCAATGATCAAGTTCAGTGCCGAACTGCACGAAGTGTGAGACATCAGCTATGTGAACACCAACCTGGAATTCTCACAATATTTTTTGCTTCCATCAAATGACACGGAAACTGTTGCAACTTACCTCCCAACCAGGATTACCAACTCCATCACAATCCGAAATTGGCTTTATATGAAGAGCATCGTCCAAATCTCGTGCCGTACTTGGATCGATTGTGAATACAGTTTCATCTCGGAAATCCTTTCGATACTTGAATTCTTTCTGAAACATGGTATTTAGTTCCATTACAGATAAATATGAATGAGAAATAAAATTAATGTGGACGGTTCTCGCGAACAAATTAGGTCTATCAAATCAACTTCATCAATTTGACATTCATTGGAAACGAACTTCATCAATTTTCCACTCCATTGCTTCGGTAATTGGAAGTGATGAAAGTGCAGCTTGTGAAAACTGTCGGGTATCAACATCATTCGCCAGTAATAAGCCTTCTGTTTCTGCTTCTACGTCGCCCGCCATCCCGAGGCTCTTGTATAACTTCCTGAACGTATCATTGACTTATACGACAGGACATAATTTCTTAAGAACAGTACCACCAATGAGCGGAAGTTGCTAACCCTCGTGCAAACTGCGCTGTTGCTTGCCATTCTACCATTCGTGCCACATAAATGAACTTTGCAAAATCTTGTGGACGGTCAAAAAACGTAGCGGGCGTTTGCTCCGCTGGTATCATCATTCGTGGCATTCGTGAGTCACCCGGCGAGAAAAGTGCCCAATTACGATTACCATCAGCCATCATTTTTAGCATGCCTACTGCAGCTCGACAATTTTTCTGCTCACTTATGAAAACTACCTGAAATACCCTGATAGACGCAAAATCTCATCTAATATCCGTAATTTAACTAAGTGAAATACGTCACAACACCGTTTTTAATTGGCGGAGAACACGAATCAACTGTAAAATAATTATGGATGACTTTGCAATGCAAAGTTTGGATTAACCTCGGCGGTTTTTTGGAGGCACATGTCAGGAATCCCCCAATCTTCATCCGGCATATCCGATAAAATCCGGTAATTTGATCGTCGCTGCACAGATCCACTTGTGCCAATTCCATTACGCCGTGTCGTTATTGTACCCAATCCCAAACTTGAGGCGGAAGTACCACATGCCAATGTTCCAGAGTGCGAAAGACCTCTTAAAAATATATCCAGTAAATTGCAACAGTTGTCTTTTCTGATGCTAATAAAGCATCTAAATGAGAAATCTACGTACATTGGTGAATCAGTTCGCTTCACAATGGCAAGTCTGGATATAGTGCTCAGAACAGCAGAATCAATACCAGCTTCATCATCTACAACTCGTTTACGACGTTCCAATTCAAGCTAAATAAAATGAAATTTATCACCTTCAATATAAAAGTTAGGAATCCTACGGATAACATGAAAGTATTAAAAATTGTAACCCTGAAGATAACCTTCGCAGCAATACATAGCATCTGTTCTCGGCTGTACTGTCGATTTCGTGTAATAGGCACATCTTCTTTCAATTTTTCACTCGAAATGCATTTGTCAACGCGTGTGGGCAACTGAAAGACAAAAAATTGTCACATGAAAATTCTAAACTATAGGTAAGTCAACGGCAATAAACTGTGATTTATAGCCTTTATAAAAAAATAAAAATATTTACATCAAGAAGTTCAGCTGGAGACAGTTCTATTTCATAATCGCTACGCTTGATTGGTGGAATAGTCAATGGCTGGCCATTGTCATCAACACGAGCTTTTAAATTTCCACCGCGCCACGCTTCATACAATGCATCACGAACCTTAAAACAATCATGAAAAAATATTACAAAACAAAAAGATACCATATCAAATAAAAGATCAATGTATGGCTTACAACCCAACAGTTCCTATCCTTGATGCGAACAACGACAATATCACCATGAAGTGCGCGATTACGATCATGGACACCAAGAATCAAAATATCCTGCTGTTCGTCGCCCATGGGATTATCCACAAATGATTCCTCATAATTACGTTGATTAACACGCAAAATACCCTTAAGTGAATCTAATGCAATAATAAAATTTCTTCACGTTTTTAAATATAATGGAAGATAGAGAAATCAGTAATAGGATAGAAGACATTGAGATTAAAAAAAAGAGAAACACACCTTGATAAGATCTCCATTGGCCAGTCCGCGATTCACTGCATCCAAGCTCATGTAAGGCATAAAAAAGGGTTTACGAGTTTTCTGATTTTGCTGAATGTTTCGCTGCTGATTATTCCCACTACCCTGCAGAGTATTACCTTGCACGCCTTGTGTACTGTTAAGATATTGATGATGTGCAGCGACACCAAAACCACCATTTTTATTACCTATAAATGATACGAGTATGTATAAATATTTCCATATTTGCAAACAAATAAAAACATAGCAAACAAAAACAAAACTGAAATAATATGTGATTAAATCAATGACCAATCATACTTGAAAAATGAGTATTAATGCTCAATAACTTAAAAAACTAATATTAAGAAATGATGCGAACAACGAACTCTTGTTCAATGCTTGTATGTGTGGTTTGCTTGCCGTAGTCGCCATCCCCACAGCATGGAGCAATGGGAGCAAACATAAAACTGAAACTTTAAGCGTGCCGAGTGTTGCAGCACTATAGCATACTGATCAAAAGTTCCTATTGCTTGACTTTATATTTGGTTAGGGCTCATATTTATTTAAAAAAATTTGAAGGCAGTAGTTCTACTCCCTACCCAAAGCTAGTCAAACAATTATCCAATTGTCAGTTCAATTGTCATTTCACAAATCAAATATGCCATAGCTTAACGCCATTCAAAAGATGAAGGCTTAAAACCCTAGATGATAAACCATCACGTATTGCCCTAAGACGTGGCAATATTCCATTCAGGAACAGTAATCACAATATTGATTGTGTTAAAAGACCCGTTCTCCAGCCAGCCGGATTCGAACCAGCGACCTAAGGATCTCAGCTTACACTCTACAGTCCTCCGCTCTACCAACTGAGCTATGGCTGGCTCCATCAGTGATGGGGAATTTGTTATTCCTATTATTATAGGAATAACAAATTTTTACAATTCTTGTATGTCTTATGGTCTCACCAACATTTTATTATTTTAAAACTGAAGTGTAAGAATCTGTGCTATTATATTTATAAGAAGACAGATAAGAGAAACGGCATGTCATCGACAACACTTTTCCTCTTCCTTGAACAGGTTCTTTCAAATTTAATCCATAAACATTAACACATATTACCTTGTCTTTGAGGACCCAAACCATGGGCAAAGATACCATGTCCCGGTGCAGGTGTCGCCGGTCGTTGCATCCCGCTTGAAACCAGCGGATACATCGGGGAAAGTGGTGGCAATAGCCGAATCAATTCCAGTGGTGGTATATGAATAGTATTTCTGTGTGCCGCATTACTGTTGCCTTAAACATATAGATAAAATGTACTGCCGAAACTTGAGCATAAGCCTTAATTGAAATATTCGAAAAACTACTCAGCAATTCCATCAGTTTCTGAATTGAGAATATTTGTTTGCACCAAGTAAAACTTATTTTCAATAAAATTTGAAAAAAGCTTTCAAATCCGACAAATTTTTTTTCCACTTAAAAAAAACACTATACCAGCAGAATTATGTCCGGTAGATAAAGGTGACAACTGTGAACCGGCGTGAACAATCGCAGCTGCTTTCATCGCCTTTTCAAATATACATGTAGGAAGAGTTGATGGATATGGACGACGATCTGCTTCGTGGGCTATAAAAAAAATGAAGAAACATTGGGAGAATTTTTTTGCGGATAACTTTTTTTTTTCTTTCCTTTTTTCTTTCCAAAAGTTGCATTAGTGGAATAATCCTGGATAATAATGCTCGGAATAACGAGATAATAACTACAATTGTTTATCAATTTTATTTCCTGTCATTGTCTTGTTGAACAAATGGCTGAAGAAGTTACTTATTGAGACAAGTCCTGGTGGTAGTGGAGGAATCTTCCATCCTGCAACATCAAGAAGAGTGGCGGGATCGACCGATATTCCGTGATTTGATGTTTCAATCATTGATGGTGCACGATTGTGGAAGTCATTAGTGTACTCACTAGTCATTACCGAGCTCCTTCGATCTTTTTTTCGTCTCTTCTTGTCAGCATTTTTATCACCACATCCCATTAATTCTGCAACACTAATCTTTCCTGTTCGCACGCCCTAAAACAATAGATATCTCTTATAATATTACAAACATGTATCAAATAAATTCAAATTAAATTTACATATTGCTCCCGAAATACCATTAGTTATTCTCATATTACGCCAATCCAAGTCGGATTCATAAAATTTTTCCAAGGCAACAGTGAAGTTAGACTACTCAATCTACTAAAGTTCTTTATAATTGCACAGTAATGGCAGTGTGATATTTCACTGCTTCTTGTGAGATAAAAACCAAATAACTTACGGTGGAAGAACTGACTCGTCCACGACGTTGAATTTCATCCAATAGTGCGAGCTCTTCCACACTCAGCGATACACGCACCCCTTCCTTGCCACCACGCAGTTCACTGAAGCTCACAGTTCGTGAGGGTGGTGTACCTCGCGCTATTGGTATGGTGCACTTTTTGTTTGATGACATGATTCCTGTGTATCGTGCGCCTTGCCACTTCTCTTGCTGTCACTATGATGTCGTCGTTTATTGTTGTTGTTGTTCTGGTACGTTGTGGATGAATTGTTCTGTAATTCCTTTCAACTCGCACAAACAAGTGGAATGAAGCAGTTCACATACATGCGCATACACACTCATCCATTAACTAACTCATTATCAATCAAATTTTTTATCATTTTTGATAAGTAAACCAGGATTGCATATTGCCATCCCAAATTCAGTGATCGGCTATCTTTCCAATATCTCAAGAGAAGTACCATTCACCCATCTTCTTTTCCATTCTTATGTGCAAATCAACATTTTTCAAACCTGTTCTGCCTTTTTCTCTATACAGTAATAGCTTTCTTCATTTCTTAACAAGACTTATTTCTTTCAATTTCAAAACTTCTGTCAAAGATATCAACTGATGATAAAAATACTACTAAAAAATTTGGCCTAAATATTATACTCCATCTCGCCTCTTTGACGAACGGTGCTTGTAAAAATGGTGACTATTTCGCAGAAAATATTTGATAATGCTATCGATGATATCAAATTCTAACTTAACGCTCAGTTCACAATTATCTTCAATGTCAGCTTTTTTAAAGAAACATAAAAATCACAGAGTCAATTGACTTATGCAATAAAACACGTACGTCTTGCGAATGAGTCAGAGGTATGTATGAGGATGAAATCACACAAATTAAATCAGGAGCGAGAATGAGTATGTTTCACATGTGAATCATAAACGTAATACAGATATTTGACGTAAGATATAAAACACGCAAGCGTTCAGATAGAGACATCTAACAATCAATAATAGCATAAGTAAAAATTATTTGATCATTGTATACAATTTCTCGCCCGCATAAAACAAATAACAAACTCAAGAAGTAATTGCACCAAGTTTAATGGAATGATACATGCGATATGTTCGTACGTACGTGAATAATAGCTGAGCTATACCTTAAAGCAACAATATTAACCGACCAATCATTATGATGACAAACAACCAAATGGAATGTTTCTGCCTGGACGTCATGTCATGATCTCATGCTGTATGCAAATTAGTTAAATGGCGTACGTGCATACTACAAATCGCAGCAATCCTGGAACATTCTGGAACCATATTAGGGGATTACTGTATTTCTATTCGTCCTGGTAGGAATGTATTTTGGGATTACTGTATTCTCTGTACTATTTATTCCGACATTCCAGGATTATTACATTTTCATCCATCTTGGCAGGAAATATACTCTAAAACTACTGTATTCTGTATGTCATCTGTCCCGACAGTAAGATAGAATACAGTAGTTCTAGGGGCATCCGAAATTACTGTATATATTTCGAAAGAAAAAATCCCCAATTTATCGTTTGTACTACAGAGTTATTGTGTATAAATCGAGATCAATTAAAGTGTAGTCTCATTTATTATTCACTGAACTACAACGTATGCGATATACATAATTAGCATGCATATGATATATAAAGCATTAATTTTACGCGCGCAGCATGTAAACATTCTGCATTTCAGGATTAATTACGTATACTTATAACGTTTTGCTGCATTTTGCATGAACATGCATGCAACATAAACTTAGAGATTGACAGGTTTCAAATTAACGATAACCTTTCCGTTCTAACAAATAGTATCCTGACAACTATAAACTTAATAATGAAAATTAGAAATTTTGAAAATTCAAAAATGAGACATCTCTTCGACTTTACTATATTTATAATTATTATTTTATTCTTGAATCATCTTTCAAAAAAAAAAAAGATAAGCAATAACTATTGCTTCCCTTTCTACTTTACAAAAGATCAAATAATACCTACCCGTGAAATTCTTTCGCTTTCTCCAATACTTCATCTGCGCCGCATGCTCGCAACCGAGTAACTTTTTGTTGCAAAGAAAAAAACTGGCAATTATGCAAATTTGTTGGAAATCGAAGTTATTCTACTATTCACCACGGAAGCGAAAGATGGAAAAGATAAAATAGGATGAATGTATGGGAGGTCAGGAGAAAAAAATTAGGTTGGATATCTATGAGAGATTAGGAGGAAGACAGTTAGTTTAAAGAATAAAGCAAGGTAGCAAAACTAATTCTATTCTTATAAATCAAAAAGAAAGTAGGCTTTAGCAATCAAGTCTGACTCTCCAAATTGTCCAGTAAGTAGGCTTGGCTGCAAGTTGTCTAGGACTTTAGACACTTCTAATTCTTTTTATGACATTTTTCATATATGAATTTTTCTTTTCAGTTATAAACTCTTAACAATCGGTATTTTAAGTTGAACGCGGATGATGAACAACTTTATTTGTAGACTATGATCAGATTCCTTGCGACTTTGGCCAGATTTCTTGCTGCAATTGTAGTAGTAATTGTAGAGTGCATTTGACAGAAGACGCATTCCTAAATTTGCATTTTCTGGAAAGGTGGCCACAAAATTTCCAAAATTAACACAGATGATTCTAACAGCCAATAAATATTGTCCTGATTTTGGCAGTATTTTAATAATTCATTCTTAGTTGTTATCGTTGTATTATCGTTTGATTATTTTATTAATCATTGTTGATTATCATTATGTTATCATTATTGTTCCTAATATCACACTCATCAGCAACAACAATTGTATGATTAGTGATTATGACCATAATAAGTAATATCAATTTACTTTTTTATCTTATTTCTATTAATAATATCGTAAGAGGCAAATCAGATATTATGTTATAACATTCACTAAATATACCATGCGTGTTTTTCTAAAGAATTTCTCATTGCGAATGTAATCATCATTTCCTAAGTTGACATTTACTTCACCCATCAACATTATACAGCGACAAGGGAAGGAAAGATCTAAAGCAAGGCTCTCAAGTTTTCAAGAATCCGTAAATCTTTTAAACTAAACAAGTCAAATTAAGCTTTATAAGGAGTAGCAATAAGATAAAACAAGTTTAAATTAATGGAATGAGATTTGGTAGGTACACACCTAGTAAGCTAGAGATGAGAAAACTTCCCCTTTCTAGGAAGCAATCCAGGTACTGTTCATTTGGCAACTTTCTTATGTTGCGCTCATTCCATGATTAGATCCAAAGAACGTCAACTCAAAAAAATTCAAATTACTACCACAAATATCAAAGGATAGCAACCCTTTGTTGTACTCGATCTTAACTTATTTATCCCGGAGATATCCTCAAAGTTATCCAAAAAACTGCTGTTCACATATATAGATTTATACCGCTCCTACAGGCAATTCCTTCTTCCTTACATATCCAGACAAATTGTCACCTTTCCACATTATATGTCCCCTTTTTCAAATTCCGATTAGAAGAGCTGCAGTGAGATTGTGCATATTTTGCAGGAAAGGAACGATTTCAGAAACTGTTACGCAACAAATTTATTTTTCAACAACATCGGTAAACAGCAGAGAGAAAATAAACCGAAAAAAAAGAAATGCAATATTAAAGCCTGAGATTAAAAGCGCAAAAAACTTCTCTGTAATAAAAAGAATCCTAGATTCCAAATCATAAGGCTAAATTATTAATTTTTCCTGATTCAAGGATGCTGTTTTGCAGAAAAAGCAAATATGTAAGCAGAGAAGTCAAGATAACTATAGCTAATAAAGTCATACAAAAAGAATCAAGCGGTTGCGGATCTTTTGGCTTGCATAACTTCTTTCCGACTTGCATCCTGCAGCAGCTGGGTGTCTATTTGATCAGCAGGCAGTTGCACATATCGTACTACGGATCCACGAATGAAGCAATTTTTGACAGAAAGCATATGCGGGTACCGCTCTGAATCGGTCACTGAGATATCCGTCAGTTTCATGTTTAGATACTGATCCACAGAATGCAACGTACCGCAGATACTGCAATGAAAATATCACACTTTTCAGTCAACTCAACAAAAATTTAGCAATGCAGAGCACGAAAACGACACGAATCTGATATTTCTAACAACTAGCATTCAAAAAAACCAAAATAATTTGCTACTTCCGAAAGCAAAAAGCCAAAACTAACGAAAAGAGATACAAAACAACTCACCTCAAATCATTTTTCAATTCCACCACCACATCTTTTCCAACTAATGATTTGAAAAAGGAATAGAACAGCTAAAAAAAACATTTGAATTACGAAACTTAATACTTCTTCATGTAATTCCCTACATATACAAACTGATTTTCTTTTCTATAAGAGTTTAAAAGACATCTCTTCCTCCTTCCCTTCCATTATAAAAAAGACTGACCATTTCAATGAACCGTTAGAATAAATGCATGCCAAACAAAAAACGACAGTCCTGAAATTGAACATTTATAATAATGCTTTTTTGTTTGTGGTAACGGCAATGGAGCAGTGTATTTGCCTTAAAATTTCTTACTGAAGAAACTTTAGATAGATCCATCCCTGCCTCCTTTCTACTTTTTATTTTGCCAATAATTAAAGAATGGACTCTCCAATATGACCACAATTTATTACTTCCAGCCTGCTATCCAATCCTTCAAAACCCCCCAAAAAATTGTCAATATTTTTCATTACTTCGTAGTATATTAACCAAATAGTTACTTCATGCTCTATTAAAAATGAAAAAAAAATGGTACAAGGAAAAATAAATTTAAATTCTTCCAATATGGTCGAGAAGTTGCTATCATCAGAAATGTAGTCCAATACTAGATTATTACTGAACAAAATATTGCAAAGTAACAGAGATCAAATTTCGTAGTCATTTACTTAGCTCCTGTACTTCTAAACAGATGAATACAAAACATTGCATTTATGGTGAAAAAAAGAGACAATGAAATAACAAGTTCGGAAGGATAGAGAAATTACCAGAAAACATTTGAAATGTAACAAAATGGATAACAATACATAAGTTTTGATAGAACAGAAAGGGAAACTATGAGAAAGTTTGAATTACTGCTACGCAGACAAGAATTCTACCTTTATTAATCCTCAAATTTTACTTTTCTCTTCCTTTCATTTAGCATATTTCCATGGTCCACCAATTGTAATCTAACTGTTCGCATTTCAACATACTTCACAGTTCACCGCTGTTATACATTTCGAGATCGCTGAGGTTTCCACCAGGAATATTCAATATAGTAAGGTGATAAAGTGTCAGGTGAGACAACAGCTAGTAAGATATGCTTCTTCACTTGAGAGGAGAGCCTTGAGAGCGCAATAAGATCTAGGGAAGATAAAGCGTCTTGTGAATTGACACATTTCACTAACCACTTGGAATGATCCTGAAAAAAGTATGACATCAAAAACAGCAGTGATTTATCAATTACAGAATAAAAAATGCTATGAGTTAAAAAATGTTATCTGAAAGCGGTATAAAATAAGAGACAATTTAAAGTATGAAGACAAAAAAGATACTAACTTCACCAGGAGCAGATTCATAAGCAAGATAATCACATCCGAACTTCAAACCACACGTTAAATAATAACCTCTACGCCATAAATCACGAAATGTGTTTAATCTGATTCGGAAATCAGAACTTTTCGGAAACGGTGGCCTCTCTATTTCTTCATATATTTCTTCATGAGTATTATCTGTAAATGACGTATTCTGATTACAAAAAGATGGATCATCCAATTTTTCTGCCAAAAATTTCTGAAGGAGAGAATTACATTCTTACTTAATATCATCTCAGTAAAAATCTCTTCTTTCCTAATTCAATTTTCTCATTTTTATGTCTTTGAAGGCACCAAGTAGATAGTTTAATACTGTACATCAGAACTATTAGCAAAATAGCTAAAGCCAGCATGTTCTAAAAGAAAGATTGCTGCTTTTAAGAAATAGCTTTAAGATATATATGCTGTAGAATGAAAGTCAGAAAAAAGTTATGTAAATCATTCTCCATTACTTTATTACAACAACAACATAAAGTAGAGAAGAAGTTAGAGAAGTTAACTAGACTAACTAGAAAACTCCTAGTGTGTTATAATATTACTAAGAATCGCCTTTACTTCAAAATTAAAGACTCACACAATGGAAGAAACCAAGTATTCTCTTGCTTAGAGATATTGTAAGGAGTCGACAGTTCCTTTACCGCATCGTTTATTTCGGAAGCTGTAACTTTCACATTAATAATATCACAGCGTTGAACCTGAAACACATTCTATCATATTGCTTTATAAAGCTCCACTGATTATGTCAATTTCATTTTATTGCAATGGAAAAAGTTTGGAGAACGAAATATGAAACATTCTGTGATGAAAATTAATCCATTCCACCAGACGATGACGAGAAAGAATGATCATATAAAGTATGAAGAATGTCATGCTCAACTCGACTTAGTATAATTTGAAAAAAAATTTATTCCAAATACCTTCAAAGCTGCAGCTGTAGCTCCATAATTAGCCTGACGTTTCAGTTTTTTTGCTTTCCGACCTTTTGCTATCATCTCAGCCTTTTTTCTTAATGCTACATGATCCAGCTTTGTGGAACAAGCTCTTGAATGTTCAGCATCGCTTCTTTCAGTAGGGATATCTTCTGCACTACTTTTGAGTTGTACAACCTTTGCGAGCCCAAAAGAGAACAAAATTAATGGTTAAAAAAGTACGAATAGATTCCTCAATTATGAAGCTAAACAAGTTTCCAAAACCATTCTCGAAAGTAGGATATTTTTTTCTTTTCAAGGAAGAGAACAGTCTTATTTTGAGTGAAACCGAAGAAGTATTAACCATATTCAACAAGTACAGCCACTTGTTCTGGCATTAAAACGAATGGAGCTCCATATTTCCGAAGATCGGCGCGCGCGTCGGGAGAAGTACCGCATGCTTCAGCGATGATACGACATTCTCTCATTTGCTCCGCCACTTCAAAATTTATGCAAATTTTAAGAGAATGCTTTCAAACAACCTTTAAAATATTTGGAAGGAAATAAGCGTATCATTCTAAATTTCATACCTCCCCAGTACTTTAGATTTAGCTTCATCCCTGTTAGATTTTGCTATACAGATATTTTCTTGGAGAAAGTTTGTCTCAAGCTGTACCTCATGTGTGCGATGAAATGTTGTCAGATAAAATCGCACACATCGTGTGTGCGATGCGTGCGATTTCATCTGACATATGTTCATTACATATACTATTACTAACCATTAGCATCAAACACAAGAAACTGTGAATTCAGATATTCGACCCGCGCAGGTGTACATTTCATCGAGATATCAATTTTATCATCTGTTGATGTAGAACATGTGTCTGTGACTAATATAGCTTCTCGATGTTCGCCCACTGAATTTGCTTCATCCATCTTCATCTGAAAAAGCCCTAATTTCATTTGTATCTTCGTATTTATGAAATATTCAGTATTATGGCATTAACAAGCTAATGATTAGGAATGCGTTAGATATTATTATCATGAGTGATGTATATATTCCGAAACACGAAGAGCTCCATGCATCACATTTGAAGTTTATTCTTTCAACCCTTATAAATCCGACGTACACAAACGTCATCAAGACAACATGACAAGTAAAATTGGCGTACAACGATATAACACATTATGTGTTAGAAGAGTACAAAATGTATGATATGCCAGGGAATAAGTTACATTGAAGTAACAGGCAGTTAAGCGTAAAGGTAGATTAGGTACACGTATTCCAGCGTACATCACTTCACAATACCAATACATGCACAGCCCGCATAATTTCGGAAATTTTTATTTTCGCCACACGTACCACATCAAATCTCCTCATTTGCCACACTCTCTAACATTCCTCGATCTCGGACAAATGCAGCATTTTCAATTAAAAAGAAATTTAGCGTGTGGGAAAAGTGCGAAGGTTAGTCTCTGAACTGTCATTGGGGGAGCGAGGGGGGGGAATGCTGTACTCGTCCCAGGTCACCTCTCAAAGTTATTTATTTAGTTACATGATGGCACTTCCGAAAACCAGAAGAATTATTTCCGGCAGACTAAACTGTGAATATAGAGTGCGTTCTAAGTATCGTTTAGAGATCCGAATGTAACAGGATAATTATAATCTGTAACACCTATCACATTCGATATGTTTTACTCAACTTCACCATTTTATCCCTATCTTTTCTCCCAGAAAATCTTGGTCTCCTCTTATGAAATTGAAATCTGTTTCTCGTCCTTTTTCTTGTAGTGCGCATAAGTAAAGTTTTATTTTTCATTCACAGTTTTGTTCACTATAAGGAAGGACAAAATGACAACATGGTGAAATAACAGGATGAAGAAGAGCGCTGTTGTTATCTAACGCAAATACTTGGAATAAATACATATCCAGAACGTTAATTGTACCAATATTTTATCCATAAAACCAAACATACTAGTACTGTCCTATGGTTTTTTTACAAAACCATAGAACTGATCTTATTATGATTAATCGTGGCGCTTTTCTTCCTCTGAACTTGAGTTAAAAGAAAAGAACACAAATAAGAAAAAAGATGCAATCAAGACAGTTTTAGTATACTTTTCCACAACGCGAACCATTTTGGAAAAAGCTACCGACTCTTCAGTTCGGACAATCTGCTAGAAGGTTCAAATTAAACAATATCCGTAAGCTTAAACTTTACATTAATCCAAACTAAGATTCATGCTTATATTTTGGTTCCATGTCTGGAACAATAAGGTGTCGACGAAAAAGATGCACTTAGAGTTAAAGCCAAAATTGTGTCATCGAAGCTAGCTACATTTCAAGATAATATGAATGTCATATGTATAAAAAATTTAAGAAAAGTGCGTCTAACATAGACGCTATATGTATTCAATCATATGCTTTGTATAAATGCATATGCAAATATTATACAAGTACATTTAAGGAATTTAAATATGAGCTTATAAAATTAAAACCTCGCCGTTTAACTAACGACAGCGATGATTGACATTGACAAGATCGACTTGCCAGAGCTGGAGAAGAAACTTGTGGACAGCGGTAGAGCTTCCAATATTATGGCAGTGGGGAATGAAGACTTTGACTGACGAAAAGTCACTTAGAGGATGAGCTCACTGGACCTACAGATAGGTCAACCAACGTGTGTGTGTATGTAGCCGGTTGAAAGATCATTTCAATCGTATCATCCTCAACTTTTCTTTGACCATATCGATTCTTCAGAATCTACAAAACGAATAATAATATATTAAGAAACAGATGAGATGTAGCAGTCCGTGAAATTTATGCATTTGTTTTTCGTAAAAATCAGGCAAAATTTCTAGTCCTTTAATCTGTATACATTTGCATTATTCACTGGATATTCTCATAAAATACAACTTCCACTGAAGGATTTAGTTTGCAGCAGAAGCTAAAACTCAGTCTATTGAAGATAACGGCTATTTTTGGTACAATGAGATATCACTCTGAATAAGCGATATCCCAATTATAACAATACTACTAAAAAATTCTCAAATTTTTAATGAGATACGGTATATCTAATGTGAACAACGATACATACGAAATAGTAGCAATAGCTTGAACTCATTTTCAATAAGCAATAATGCTTCTAAGACTCAAAAGTTATGTTACGACATGTTTTGTGCATAAACAGCACGCAGGTTTTTTGCAACGCTACTTTCATTCTTGGAAAACTTACATATAAAAATTTACGGAATCTACGTCGGTCAGCTTCATCTCGTCGACGTTGTATTGCAAAAATATTATCCGCCTCTTGAGTAACTCGTCCCGAACCTCCGAAATGATGTATGTCGAGATCTTCGCCACCCTATAAATTATTACAAAAGAAATAAGATGGAGCCTATGAATTTCTCCTTCAAAGTGAACATTCACAAGGACACCAAAAAATGTTGAAGTTGAAATAAGTAATTCTTAGCTCACTTACATTGGTTTTTCGAGGATGGACTACCATTGTAATATGTGTCATACAATCAGTGGCAATACTTCGCATCAAACCGATAAAACGATCCTACAAGAAAGTTTGGTCTGCTTTGAAGGCATTCAAAATTTGTTTCATAAATCACTGAAACGTTTAAAGAAATTTAAACGATGGGATAGAACAATTACCTGCTGATGGAATCGTTCGAATGAATTCGCTGTCTCATCGTTCAAAATTGCAAGGCCTACTAGAAATTGTAAATTATCAATTACAACGTGTTCGATTTCACCTGCTATAACTTGATTTCTGATCGCCTGTAGTAAGGAAATTTTGATCTAATCAAACAAAAACAAAAATATTCCACCCTGATGAATACCAAACGATGGAATCATATTTGGTATATCTTCATTCTCCTAATATTAATACAAATAATCCACAATACTTAAATATTAATACAAATAAATCCATAATAACCCAATGACTAAAAAACCGTCCATCATTCTTTGTGTTTTTTGTTTACTCTAAGAGAAATGGGATATAACTAAAATCGATTAAGATAGCAGAAAAGAGACAAAAAAGACCACTTTAGAAATTAAGAATTTTAAACTTTTAAGCATTCATACACTGGCTATCTGATTGACGGAACGATTCCGGAATTCATCTGCTTTCATAATAATCAATTCTCCTTTAGTTCTTTCGAAACGATCAATCCATAATTCAACGGCTGGATGATGTTCTACTTTGTATAAAGGTAATCTGCAACGAAAAATGACTGCAACATTGAGAATACCAATAAGAAAGGCTATAACAGTAACGCACAGTGGAACATGAAATGCATATATGCATGTCGAGAACAGCAAAACCACTAACCACGTTCATATGACACCACAAATATGCATTTGACGTTCACTGTACCACCACTAAACGTGATTCTCGTGATGTTATAAATATATTAAACTTAAATCTTTCCTTTCTAGCTTCCATACCTTCCTATTAATTTAGGCATACGTCATAATACTTTATGATGCGAACAGTGTGCGTCAAATGATTTCAAAAATGATGGCAAAAATCTTTAGATGAAAAGCAAACAAAAATATGGTGGTAATGCACATAGATGTGATAAGGTAAATCATATACATATATAATAATGACCTATGCATATACAGGTCATTATAACTTGCTTACTTCACTCCATTATGAACCGTTCGAGACTTCGCCATACTTCGCAGATGTGCTGGTCTAACAAAACTACACGGTTAATTTTGCATAATTTCTTTGACTTATTTTTCGATTCCAAAACTTTATATAATACAGATAACTTTTAGTCAATGTTATCACTTGTTCTCGAAATCTGAATAACCTCGAGAATGAGAGATAACAGTGAACCATTGTAACTATTGTTGCTATTAAGTTAAATGAAAGAAATCTAATTCCTCTTGTAAATCTTATTCTAGCAAAATGTTATCACATGCAGTTCATGGAAAACTTGAACAGATAAGGAGTCATAATTCACAGTATTCGTTAATATTACGCCAGTAAAGAGTCAACAAAAAATAAATGCTAGAAAAAATCAGAAAAAAAAATAAATATTAGAAAACTTACGCTGCAAATTGCACAAGCATCCATTTCAGGATTTTTTCATCCGGCATTTCGAAACTGCAGAATAGAGTACGAACCTGTAACGGAGCAAGTAACGAATTGACAAGAACTATTTAAAAACAAACAATCTTTTTGCTTATAATTTATGATTATCAAAATGATGCTTGAAAGAATAAAAAGAAAATATGAAATGCAGTAATACTAACCCCTTGAACAAGAAGATCCAGAGCATATTCGCAAAGAAATGTTGTCTTGCCGAAACCTGTACCTCCTGTTATAACGGTCATCTCTCCGGGTCGAAATCCACGCATAAATCGGTTCAGCAAGTCAAATCGTTTCCACTTAAAATATTGAAAAATGAAAATGGAACATTCCAATACATCTACATAATACTGAGGAAAACGGTACAAAGTTAACAGTTTGAATTAGCGAATTGTCCTCCTTAGCGTATCACTGTACTGCAAATTACCTGTGCAACACCATTCATCTTCATCTGATCTTTAACCAACTCAGACTTCAATTCACTTCGTACATCAATTAATGAACGAAATCCTTTGCCACGTAAACGAATCGACTCCTCTCGAATTGCTTTATTAATTTCACGTCTACGATCAGAACGCAGCAGTTCAATTGGGCGCTCATGGTTGCTGAAAAGGAAAAGCAATTGTCTAAATCGAAAATAAAGCAGAATTTTATATGAAAATGAATTTTGTAAGGGATTAAAAAAATCATTTTTATAATTATTTCAGTGGGTAGTGATACACTTATATAAAACTTATATAAAAGACAGAACTCGATAAACTTACTCAACAATGAAGCAACGATTAGCATTCAACAGTGATGCATAATCCTTTGCATATTTTTCCTGAACATAGGGAAACCAAAGATAAACCATATCGAAATCTTCCAAGTATGGAAGTACACTGTAATTAAATGGTAATATGTTTATATTCTCAGAAGATTTAGAGAAGGAAAGCAAAAGGAAGAGGCATGAAGCAAATGTACTATTAAAAAAAACCTTGTATCCAGTTGTTCACCTTTGGGCAACGCTATACATAGCATTCCACCGGTGGCTTCGAATACCGCCAGAGCATCACGTTCATTTGTGGTCAGTATAATACGCCGGTCTAATGCAGTGACCAAGTGATAGCCAAAAATTCCCGAAAACGATGATTTTCTGCAACAACCTACAATACAATGCGAATATTCAATGAATATCTC